ATATTGTAAATCTGGTACACTCTAATAGACCACGAACTATTCCTGTAAAGTATCAAACAACTATTCATAATAAACTATTTACTGCTATTATTGATAGTAAAACTGCTATTAGTATGATTATCCAACAAGCTGCCAAAGAAATTGAATTGGAAATAGACACCCCTTCTAATAGTTTGATTTTATCTGCACTTGGAAAACAAGTTAGACCTCTAGGTGTTATTAAGGATGTTCCTGTAGAAATTGCAGGAATTACTATTCCTATTTCTATAGAAGTTGTACTAGCAACTACTTACTCTTTTATTTTGAAAAATGATTGGTTTTGCAAAGTAGAAGCCCAATATGATTAGAAAACTAAAAAATATATTATGCATTGAGACAGTCATCGTATTATTGTACCTACCACCTATGAGCATAACCAGGCTGTAGAAGGACAACCCATAGTCAGTAAAGTGGATGATGATTAGGAAGAAGAATATGAGGATAAAGAATTAATCTCTCATGAGGCCTATACTTTAGAAGCAGAATTTAATAATATTGAAGATTCAGGATGGACTATATATTAACGAAAACCAAAAATCTCTCGCAAAAAAAACTAGGGATGTTGAATCTGTGAACAAACTGATCACTACTTTGAAGATTGCCAATATAATAAATATTGGCAATGTGATGAGTATGGATATATTGCTGTTAAATGTCCTTACCAAAAATCTAAACATACTACCTGTGCTAATTGTGGTCAATCTAGTCATCAATTTAAGGATTGTCCAGAAAATAAATGTAGAAAGTATAATAACAAAGGATATATTAGTGCTAATTGTTCTAGAAGTAAACTTGAACAAGAAAATAAGAAATATCAATGTGGTTGTGATGAAGAGGAAGTTGCTAACCAAAAAGTATATTATTATAGCCAAAAGAAGAAATATCACTGCTGTCAATGCAAGTATCCTCAATTTGGTAATAAATTAATGCTACTAAAGGGGACTCTAGTTTGCAAAGCATGCTATAAAGACTATCATAAAAATTTGAATCGAGAAGACTCTAAGAGCCATTATTATTATGAACAAAGATTAGAAAAAGAAACTTTAGTTAAATGCATTGTATATGAAAAAGAAAATCCTAAACACAACATGTATAATTTGCTAAATAGAACTTGGTTTTGTAGTTTTGAGCATATGTATGCATACAAAGCTAGTGAAGATATCAAGTATAACCTAAACTATAACTTGTAGACCAGAATTAAGCATTATACTGAGTCTAACAAAAGTACTAGAAGTTATTATGATATGAACCAAGATAGTATATACCGGTTAGCCCAAACCTTGTTTGGTATAACATCTCAGAGTATTGTTCAAGCAGAAGTAGAACAGGAAACAGATAGATTTAATAGAGAGTTTACAAATGAGGAATTAACTCTGCTCTTCTGTGTTAGTGAAACACAAATAACTATTGATGAGAAATAACAATTAAACCAAATTCTGGCTAAGTCTTTTGATCTATTGAATGCTGATTTTGATCATCAACAAGCTATTGCCAACTTGCATATTAATTTTGAAAGCAAAGTAGCTTTGTGTTCAGATTGTTTGTTTGCTAAACATATTTTTGAACTAGAGCCTAATCAAGGTTTTTGTAATGAATACTATTGGAAACAAATAAAGCCATCTACTAGTTTACAAAAAGAAAAAGAACCAGAACAAGAGCCTAAACTACAAGATATTATAAATCAGCAAGCACAACAAATTTTACAACTTTAAAAAGAAAATAAATAGTTAAGCTAGTTACTCTTCTCTTTGTATCAGGATCATATAAGATTAACTCAATAGCAAGAAAAAAGGAATAGACAACAAAACCAATTTTGAATGCAATGCTTTGCCCAACCTGCATCTGCAGAAGAAACAGAATTCCAGAAAAAATGATTAAATTCTCAGGAAGTCTATATTATTGGACAATTAGAACTAGAAGAAGAGTACTTATTAACTTCAGAAGATCATGTAGAAACAGGTCAACTTACAACTAAACAAGGCAAACAATTTAAGAAATTATTAGATGAATTTGCAGATTTATTTGCCAAGGATATCAATGAACTAGGAAGAACTGATATTGTAAAGTATCGAATTTATACTGAAGATATGCCTCTAATAAAATCTAGGCCTTACTCTGTTTTTTAGATAAACAAGCATTTATCGAAAAAGAAATTAAAAGAATGTTAGAAAATAAGTTGATTCAGCATTCTAAAAGCTCTTGGACTTCACCTGTGGTTCTTGTCAAGAAAATGAATAGGAAATTATGGTTCTGTGTAGACTATAGAAAACTTAATAATATTATTAAAAAGGATGCTTATTCCCTTCCTCATATTAATGAAATGCTCAATGCTTTGTCAGAAGCTAAATAGTTTTCTACCTTAGATCTTGCTAGTAGATACTGGCAAATAAAAATGGACTCTAGAGATAAGGAAAAAACTGCATTTGTAACTTGTTATAGCACTTATGAGTTCAATGTTATGCTATTCAGTCTTTGCAATAGTCTTGCTATATTTCAAAAACTTATGAATCATATTTACCAGGATATTAATTGGAAGTTTGTAGTTGTATACTTGGATGATACTAATATCTTCTCATGAACGTTTGAGGAACATTTGCACTATCTTCGAATTATATTTCAAAGAATCAGAAAAGCAGGCCTTAGGCTTAATATTGAAAAATGCAAGTTTTGGATGACTTCATTACCTTTTCTTGGTCATGTTGTAAGTGAAAAAGGAATTGCACCTGACTCCAAAAAGTTAAAAGCTGTTTAAAATATTGTTCTACCTACTGGAATTACTAAACTTCGGTCATTTCTAGAACTAGCTAGATATTACCAACAATTTATTAGTAACTTCTCAGCTATTGCTAATTCTTTGAATAAATTGTTTCAAAAGAATGAATCTTATGAATGGAAAGCTGAACAACAAAAAGCTTTTGAGAAACTAAAACAACAGTTAGTCACTGCTCCTATTCTTGCATATCCTAATTTTAGAAGAAGATTTATCCTTGCTATAGACTCCTCATATCAAGGATTTGGAGCTACCTTTAGTCAAAAAGATGATAAAAAGAAAAGAACATTCTATTGCTTATACTAGCAAAAGTCTTAAAAAAAAAGAACAAAACTATGCTGCTATTGTAGTCCGGGAATATACCATAAATGGATAATGACGATCACACCTTTTATAGAAATAGATCATCGATCAATTGATTTTGGAAATTTCTAAAGCATGATCCAAGAATGCCAAT